ATCTAAAAGCTTTCAAATTCAAACTGTGAAAAACTGGTTAGGAAAATAAAAGCATAACATTTGAAAGTACATATTAAATAAAAATCACAGGTAGACTATTTGCAAATGCTTGAACTAAGTAATAAAATATATATTGGGTTATTGGAAAAGTCATGACTGTTTTTTCTATGCAAAAATGCATGGTGACTTTTCCAACAACCCAATATATTGTGCATATAGGACATACACTCTTAATTCTATATATCACTACGTAGTACATACATTGTTACGTGTTTCATGTGATAAGAACACACATGGAGTTGTGAGCTTTGATAGTTTATCTTGTCACTCATTTTGGGCCAAGGGAGAACAGGGTGTTAGGTTATTGTTGGGTTCAGCGACATCTTGGAATTATGAAAACCAAGAATGGAGTGTTGAAAGTAAAGACTTAAAGGTCCTTCACTGCTTCCAGCGGTATTTTCAGGGTGAAGAGTTTATAGTTTCTCATATTTAGTCTTTGAGTGTTTTTACTTTAACCCTCTGGGGCTAGAGAAATAGCCATTTAATAAAAAACAAATGCTAATAATACAAACAATTTTAATAACAGGTTGTAAATATTTTGGCCATTAGTTATGTTTTTGTTACTGCTGAGCTATTACAGCATTAGTTACTATTAGTATTTACTTTAGCTAGCAGTCAAGACAGTCATAGTTTTTTATGTTCTTTCCGTCTATACTGTGAACGCCTTCAGGGAACAAGTCCTGTCTTTTTACTCAGTCTTATATGTCACAGGGTCTGGCACTGTAGATTTTAAGGGAATGTAATTAAAAGAAGAAAGGTGTGGAAATTTAATTTTTAATTTAATTTTTAAGGACTTTTTTTTTTGTCTTGCTAGAGAGAGGGAGCCAGAGAGAGAGAGAGAGAGAGAGAGAGAGAAGGAAAATTGAGAAATCGCCCCCCCCCCCAGGAGGGGGAATGACCATGCCATAATCCCTTTTCCTCTTGGTATTTGGCACATATGCATATATGCCCAGCGTGATTTTCAAGCCACTCAAACTGTGGTCAACCATGTGAGAGTCTAGCACCTTAACCACTATGCCACCTGCTAGTCCAGGAAATTTATTTTTTAATCCAGTCATCTTTATATATTATTTGTGAGGTCATTTGGTATCATGCTGGAATAATCACTGTGGCTTCTTTGTGGCGTACGCCAATAAATGAATGAATGAATTGCTAGGAACACAGATTGAAAATCTAGGCATCCCATTGCTAGTCTATCATCCCATCCCTAGTTACTAGCTCCCGTAAGTTTCTCTTTGTCCTGGTTAAAGCTGCAGCTTAAAAACCATTGTTCTCAGGGTACAGGTGTTCCACATAGCTGGCCTGTGTTGCTCTCTCCATCTCTTCATGACCAGTGACCAGAATGGGTATATTTGGTGGGTTTGTGTGGTGAGGGTAGCTTTGAGCTAAGGTAACTGGGCACCATGTCTTCAAACATTGCCTCCTGGGCTCCTACTGCCCTTGGTATGCTGCTCATAGGTGCCCTCTGTTCTTACTGCTCTCATTATTCTCTTATAGTAACCCACAGTCCAGGTTTTATCATTATCAGTGACATAACTCTTGACAAAATGTAGATAACCAATTTTAATTCAACAGCTATTTGTGCATGCATTGAGTACAGCATGAGGAAAAGTTAGGAGAGATGCGCTGAGATTTTGGAGCAGGCTTTGTCAGGGCTTGACTCATTGTTGCTATCTTGACAAGATACAACTGTAAGCTTTTAACTGATAAACTCTTATAAAGTTGGACTGGGGATTCCAGAAGGGCATAGGGGAAGACCAAGGAAGGCCTTTGGGACTTTCCTCCTACACTTCTTTTTAAAATTTGCTCTTAAAGAAAGAAAGTCAAGATAGTGGGGGGCATGACCCAGTCTTCCCTTTTATCATTGAATTTCTGAGCATCCTAAGAAAACAGACTTGCACGTTCTTCTTGATCTGCTGTCAACTGTAGACTGTAGCTTGCCTTTAACGTTAATCTTTGCCTACTTCCTACGTGGTAGGTAAATTATATTGGGTCATCAGAAAAGTCATGATGCATTTTTGCATAGAAAAACAAAAATATGTCATGACTTTTCCAACGACCCAGTACTTTTCAGTGATTTTATTTGGCAGACAGTGAAACTAGTTGCTTTCTCAGCGAAATAATGACTAATAAAGTTTTGTTTTAAATATGCAAGAAGGTATCAAAATTCATGAGATATAGTTAAGATTTTTGTGTTGTTTTATAATATATACCTGGACTCAGTAACTACAGGTTTTTTGTCTCTTTCCATAAATAATAATAATTACAGTCTATAGGTATTTGACATATTTATAAATGCATAAATATACAGAAAATTTTAGTTTAGCTTTTATATAATATTTGTAGACTTATGTAAATTACAGCTTGGATTATAGAAGCCACCTAAAACGTGAGATGAAAAGGGTAGTGAAAAATGTCTGTAAACACATTAAAGATTAAAACAGTAGCTGAGTCCAGTGAAAGGAAGTGATCTTATGAATTAGTAATGAAAGTGCATTTACAGGTTATTGTCTTACTGGGGTCTGAGTTGTAACAGCTGCTGGTAGTTTAAACTAATAGAAGCCTGAATAGCCCATAATATTGAGAGTATTCATTCTGTGTATGGATTGTTTTTTAATAGAAACACTGAATGGTGTTGCCTATCTTAAATTACCTCAAAGAGTCATTAAAAATGAAATAAGATAAGACATGTAAATACAATATATTTTATAATCATAAAAGGTACTTTCTCTCACTCCCCATGTAGCACAGGTAATAGAAAATTACTGGAATATGTATTAGGTTTATTGAGCAGTAGTTTTAAGAGTTTGAAGCTTCATTTAGAGCCTATGAATAGAATTTGAGACAATTTCTAAATATATTGGACTAAAAAAAGTTAAGTTTGTATAAACAATATCGTAAGAGTACCTCAATTGAATAGGCCAGTTATCTTTAAATCAGATGTTGTTCTGTAAGTAACAAGTGCCTTAATGTATACCAAGTCCTTTGTTAGTTACATACTGGGAACACTGTCTATTTGCTTGGTTTCACTCTGTCACTTGAAAGCAAACTGCAAACTATGCTAAAATTTAAATATTTAAATTCTAAATTTATATATCATTAATTCTCTGGCCCTTTCTACAGTTAACTAGGAGGAATATTTTCTTATAATCACTGGTAATACTAGATTTTAAACTAATCTAATTAAAGAACACAAAGGACAACAGTCTTTTTTAGTTTCTAAGCAAAGCACAAATTTTAGATAACTGATTTTAAATATTATATCTGAAAGATTGTTTTAAACCTATATATAGATGTAGCTGGGCCAGTCTGTGGCATGGTGATGAAGGCCATTGGATCCCACGTGGCCTACCATGTGGTTTGTTCCAAACTTGGCACGCATGTCAGAAATCCCGAAAGCAGGGAGAACAGGAGAAGTGATTACAGTGTGACCATGCTCCGTGGGGGGTGCTTTCTCACTTTCCCTCTCTCTCCCTCTCTCTTCTGAGAATACATGTGCCATCTGGCAAATTTTTAAGAAAGTATGTAGTTATGTTATGTTATTCATTATTAAAATTCTCTTTAAGTAAGGCACACATTAGATTTTTTTCCTTTTAGTTATATAAAGAGAAAATATCAAATTAATGGTATTTATTTCTCCTTTATCTTGCACTATACCAGACACTTCAATAATACATAAAGAAGTCTACAAGTCCCTGGCATTGAGGAGCTTTGAAATTAAAGACGGGATGAGGGATATTTTTTAAATGATCAAAAAGTAATATGTGAATAAATACTCAAGAATATGATAAAATCAATGTGTCCTAGATGTGAAAAGAAGGAAATTTTAAATATAAGTTACCTGAAAGAAGTAAGCTTACATTTTGTGACATTAGAAGAAATCAATTTGTCTGAAGCATTTATATTTGTTTTTTAAAACTCTAAAATAATTACTCATTTTCTTTTTTCCTTTGTTTTAAAGTATTTACTTCATTTTATTTATTCATTGATTTATTTTAATTTGATCAGAGAAAGATGGGAAGGAGTGAGAAAGTAAGCCACCAGGTGCAGGACCATGGTTGGCCATGTGGGAGTGTTCAGCACTTGAACCACCATACCACCTGCTGCACCCATTATTTTTTCTTTTAATATGTAGTTATAAATATAATTTGTCAAAATATGTGATCAATATGGTAAAAACATTTGCATATGAAGTCATAAATGAGATCAAGGTGAATGTTTATGTCTTTTTCTTTTTTTAAAGATAAAAATCCAGCTATAAGGAATTAGTCTGTGTAGTGTGTAGGTAAATGGATAAGAATGTGTGTTTGTATGTATCTGTCCACATCATACTCAAGGACTGCCTGATCTCAGTGCACCCATACCCCTCTACTACCAGTTCCTGAGAATTTTTCAGTACCACCTTATCATATTTACCCAAGTAGAGCATGGAGATGGAGATCAGTTCAGTGGGAACAAAACAGGATTTGGGGATACTGGAATTGACTGCGTCGACCAGGGTCTGCACGATGGCATGGTTGGTTGAGTTTAGGTGGTCAGTCTGTGGAAAGGGGTAGTCCCCACGGCAGTTGAAGGCCTGATAGCCTGGTGGGGCCACAATCCAGTCATTCCAGCCCAAGTCGCTAAAGTCCATAGAGAGCGAGTGGAGCTGACAGTTCTTATTCTTTTTCCTGGTTCACTGTGAATGATGCTTAGGGCCATGTTTAACCTACTGGCATCAGTTCAAGGCATGGCCATGGCCATCATGGCCAAAAGTGACCCGGAAGGGCTGGAGCTGGGCCCACTCCCCACTCCAGTGAGGTAGTGATGGGCATGTCAAGACTAGCTGACTGGGGACACCCCATCTTAGTTCTGCCACCCTGTTACTGTAGCATCAACAATAGCCTCATGGAAGCACAGTGTAATGAGTACCATGTGCATTGTCTTTCCTTTATTTCCAGGCATACTTCCGGCAGGGTGTTGCCCTCCAGTACCTCGGACGTCATGCCGATGCCCTGGCAGCCTTTGCGTCTGGTCTGGCTCAAGACCCCAAGAGTCTCCAGCTTCTGGTGGGGATGGTAGAAGCTGCCATGAAATCTCCTATGAGAGGTAAATGTGATAAAAAGTACTTGATCTGATATTGTAACTGAACATTTCTAGGCTTCCAAGACTATAGGCTCAGGCACAGAAAATTGATATGTTACTAAATTTGCTAAGATCCAATGTTTTAGACAAAGGGAGATCAGGAATCGCTGTCGATAACTGGTGTTAATGACGCAGAGTAGTATGATGGAAAGGCCACTGGCCTGGAAGTTGTGGACCTAGATTCTACTCTTAAATTTTTTATTAACTGCACGATTGAGGGTAAAGGAATTTATTTCTCTTGATTTTAGGGTTGTTTAAATAATCTCTTCTGTATTTTTGTCATTATAAGATTCTGCAGTTCTCAACCCCAACATCTCTAGTAGGAAATTGATTTGTTCAGATGGACCAGTATGCCTTCTAGGAATAATCAAATAAGGACACATTGACATTCTTATATTTAATAAAAGGAAATATGTATTTAACTACAGGCCATCTAACATTTTTCAGAGATGCATTAAAAGACTATATTGAATTAAAAGGATAGGGAAAAAAACATGACAGACACTAGTTTACATTTATTCTCCATGTTATTATTTCTACTTTATACCAACTGGTATTCTGAAAAAATAAGAATGAAAATAGTGTTGAAAATAGTGTCGTGGAGGTTGGAGGAATCCTAAGACCCAAAACAGACTGGTTTCATTGTGAGGAATGTTGCTTTTTGAGAAATGAGCTCTTGAGAAGATTTGACTGAAAGTGCATATCAGTTGCTATATTTGGGGAGTAATGGAGGCACCAAGACAGATTAATGGCAAATAGTAGACAGCTAATAATGTTTCATATTAGTTAGGTTATTTCAAGCAGAACTCTGTTTTTGACTATTAAGTGGCACATTTTTGAATTTTTCATACTGGAGAATGAGCCTAAACATTTTAATGGCTGTATCATTCAACATTTTCCTCAGTTTTGAAAATGGTGCAATATTAGATAGTTTTCATATGATAGCTAGTATAGTACTTGACTCAAAATATGTGATAAATAAAAGTTTGATTTACTAATTGGTACTCATATAGTTCTTGGAAAACTCATGACTATAAAAATATTTTCTCAAAAGTTGGGATTTCAAGTTTTGCAAAATAAAAAAAGTGATAAAGCCTCTCTTTGTGCAATTTTATAACATGTGCAAAACTGAATCTTTGCTGCAGCAACCTAACGTCGACTCCCACTGGTTGACCTGCTGTTAATAAACTCTGACTTAGAGCAGATGTGCTTTGGAGCTCCAGGGCTTGAGAGAGGAGGGGGAGAAATGGACAATAACAACAACGAAATCAACCTGTCTTCCAATGTTTCTTGTATTTTCTCATTCTCTCCCGATGTCCCCCACAAGAAATTTACATGGAACTTTGTTTTTCCATGAAGATATCATCTCTTTATCTGGTGTTTCTGCTGCTGCCTTAGAATATGCGAGTGAATGTGTTGAGATCAGCGGAATCATACTCAGCATTTTGCCTTTGAAGCAATTTGTTTGGATGAATGTAAGGAAATCTCATCCGCACCGCGAGGAGCAGCTCAGAACTGCTGTCACCCTTAGGGTTTTTCTGTGCCGTGCTCTTTGCTGTCTTACAGTGAGTGACCTAAGGCCGACCCTGGAGAAATCTGCTTCCTACAAGTGCTGGGAGCACTTCAATATTTTCTTCTTTTTCCTTAAGGCAGTTTAATTTATCTCGTTTATTTTTAGCCTTGTCTTTACCATCATATCCATTCCAGCTAGATTTTGCTTATCAACATGTTATAGTCTTCTGCTTTGCACAGTGTCGTTCTGTACACCATCCCATATCTTAATGACCCTTCTTTTTGTCCTATGGTTGTAATTCACAAAATCTGTCTTCATTTGCTGCCCGTTTTCTACCCTCTGCCAGCCTGCTGCAACTTTCTGAGCTTCTGCCATTGTATAGCAGTGCAGTCTGGGCCACTTTACATGTAGGTCTGGTCTGTTGTATCATTTGCTTTCCTTTAGCAGTTAAATATATGCATACATCTATATATGTATGTATGTCTGTATGTGTGTGTGTGTGTGTGTATTATATATAGAGAGAGAGTCATCTGAAAAGTCATGACGTATTTTTCTGTTTTTTGATGCAAAAAATGCATCATGACTTTTCTGATTCAATTTATTTACATTTTTAAGGTTTATATTTAATCACTGTACATCTTTACAGCATATAAAATGTTTTCCCAGTATCGATACAGTGCATATTAGTCAAGTCAAAGATATTACCATACACATTATCATCAACAGATAAGTTTTCACTCTTGTGTCTATTAAATGTGTTTTTTCCCCCTTGATTCTCTCCTTCTCATCTCTTCCTATACTGTCTCTAGTATCTACAGTTGCTCTCCCTAAAGGCAGCGAGAAATCTTTTAGATCAGGTGCTTCTGGAACTTCAGAAAGTTCATGGAAAAATTAAATTCAAGCACAAGTTTATTTTAGTACCAAAAAAAAATTAAAAATGAAATGCATGCGTAGTTTTCTCATAGTAGGCATATTCCATGAATTTTTTGAAGACTCCATGCATAGATGAAGCACTCATGACCTGCACAGTGTTTCTGTGGGTTGGCTGATTTCTTTATTTTTTTCTCAAGACAGGGCCAACCTACCTGAATATTCCCTCATTCCATATAAATTTATTTATCCACATTGAAACTCATTTGATCTTTTATTATTGTTGCCTAATTTCTAATGAATTAAATTTGTACTTTTTTTTAAAGTTTCAGTTGTGCTCACAAACAAGATATCTGTTAAATTATTTCTGTATCAAAATAGTATGGTTTTCTTGGATCATTAATGAAAATATAAAAATAGGCATAAATGTGAAGACATACACTCACATGGTATCTCAAATTATTCTTTTATTGTTTTCCATTTCTTCTTTTTAGATAGTCTTTCAGCAATTTCAGTTCATTGTATCTGACAAATGTTTAAACAAATTTGGATGTTGGAGCATACTGTTTTTGCCAACCATGAATTTAAAAATATAATTACAAAGTGAGATTGACTTTACCTTTATTTGTTCCTCTAACAACACAATAGCTGCTTCTTGCTGAAGGTTCCCTTGTGTCTATTCTCTCTTCCCATTAATTGAGTAATCTAAAGACTATTACATTTATGGGCTATCACCTGTTGTGTTTCTATGAGCTTCCCAGGTTCTGAGGAAGCTGATTTTATGAAGTGCTGATGGAGAATGTCTATTGAGCGGAGACGGAGACGCTTTCTTTCAAGGTCAAGTTGGGGCTCACCTTTTGTTTGCCTAATTGTCCACCCTCAGGGAACTCTTCCTTCTGATTCTCTTTTAGGTGGTAGTCACTTTTCATAGGAGGATTGCTACTGAAATGTTATACGAGAAATGTGGGCCTTTTCCCCTTCAAAATATTGGAACCTAATTCTGGCATTGTCATTTGCTAGTCCAATGACTGAGCAAGCTTGCTTCCTTTCTCTACACCTCAATTTTCACTCACAGGGAGGAATGACAATATCCGTCTCTCATTCTGTTCTGAGCGTTGAGCACTAGAACATAAAGGCAGGCCCGTGTAGAACACCTTCTCATCTGTAGAGTGGCCCCCTTCTCACGGGGGTGGAGGGCTTGCATCAGTGTTTATCCTTTCCTTTTGGTTATGATTGTGGAACGCACTCTACGCAGCACACAAGGCCCTCTTTATGAGCACTTGCTGGAGAAGTTTCTCTTGGACTCTCAGTATGACAGACCTCCCTCACTTTTGTTCTCATCTCTAGATACTCCCAATTACAACTGCCCATAATTCCTGGAAGATACTGTAGTTTTTCATGTTGTCCGTCCCTATGCTGATGTCACTGTCTCTGGAAGCCTTCCCAGACCTACCCTGTTAGACTTACCACCTTCACCTTTGGGATACCACTGAACATTCTACCAACTCTAAAAACTCTGGATTGAAAATTGTGTCATTATATATTACTAAGAAAGAAGAAAACACTGATGACTAAATGATGACACAATCTTTTATTATCACTTAAATTTTTATTTAATACATAAGGGGATTTTCAAAAAGTTCACAGAAAATGTGCATTATGCAAAAACTATGTATGGTTTTCAATTTTTTTTTTTTGCACCAAAAATAAATTTGTACTTGAATTCCATTTCCCATGGACTTTTTCTTTCATTCACAATGGAGTCATACACGTGCATGAGAGAGAGAGAGAGAGAGAGAGAGAGAAAGAGAGACAAAGAGAGGGAAGCACCCTCCAGTGTCTGGTCACACCGCAGCCTCCTTCTTCCAGTTCTCACTGCCCACTGGTTCTTGGGCACTTGCATACATGCCCTGCGTGTTTCAGGCTGACTGTGCCAGGATTCCAGCTGTGGTCTTCACATGGGATCTGGCCTTTCTTGAGCAGCTCACTACTGCTGTGCCACATAGCCAGCCCTGGTCTTGAACTTTCTGGAGTCCCCTCATATACATAAAGAGACCTTTTAGGCCTATTTAGATATAGGAGTGACATACCATTGGGAGGTACCATTGAGTTGGGAGATTAAATCACAAGCTTAGAGTTGCTATTATGTGGACAAATGTAGATCTCAGAACTGATAAAATATACTATATTACTTAACTGAGCATGAAATACATCTCTTAGCTCATTGTAACTGTTTGTTATTAGCCTCTTCTGTGTTCCTACAAGCTCTTCAAATGTCGGGAAATGGACTTTGCTCATCTTAAATTTTTAAAGCCTTCACATTTTGAAAATGCATAGTAACAGCTGATCAATCAATGTTGAAAAGGGTCCTTATGTTCCTAGGAGTTGGTCTGACATGGGCTATTTCATGTATTATGCATAGATTCTAGTAGGAGAAAAACATCTTAATAGCCACAGGCTGCCAAAACTGTTCTACCTACCCTGATAAAATCACAAAATTAGTCCCTTTGCTAATAGCCTAAATTTACTTTAAAACAGGAATTAGAGTAATAGAATAATAAAATTAGAAACAATCTTACATATAACCTATACATTAGAAAAAATGACTTACCACTTTTACTGATCAAAAGCATGTACAATTGTTAATTAGAGCTTCTGATTAGAGAGTGTGGATCAGTGAGACCTAATTATAGCCCAAAGCGGAGAAATTTGACATTAAAAAAATTTTTTTAAAGTATATACAAGGACGAGAGAGTAGCGTAATGGCTATGTCGCTGAACTCCCATGTAGTCGACCATGGTTCGCATCCCGAACCCGGTGGCTTAAAAATCGTGCCTGGCAAGTGTGTGTGCGTGCCCAAGATCCCAAGAGGAGAATGGAGGAGAAGGGATTGCGGCGTGGCCATCCCCCCTGGGGGGGGTGTGATTTCTCGCTTTCTGTCTCTCTGTCTCTCTCTGTCTGTTTGGCGAGTGCACGCGCCCTATAGCAAAAACCTCTAAAAAAAAATTTTAAAATAAGTATATACAGTGAAATGGACTTGAAGAGTGTATATACAGTGAAATGGACACACACACATATGTATACTTATCTGTACATATATGCATCCATATACATATATTCGTAAATTTATGCACATATGCATAACTCTGTACCTACACGTGTATATATTGTGTAACCATCAGCACATTACAAACTATGCATTTGACAAAGTGAGGAGAGCGAGGCTGTGTGGCTTTGAAATATTGGTCTTTATTCATAATTCAGTGTTCTCTCCATTATTCCACATCAACTACCTCCCCTATAAATATTTTCTGGTCAATTCAAGCTGGCCTGGTTTGCATTCCCTGTCATGCCATGCACCTATCTTCACTGGCACCTTGGTTTAAACAGACCTTCTGTATAAAATACTTTCACCCTCAGCAAAAGGCAAAGACTTGTCTAAGCCTCACCCTTCCCTCAAGAAATCAGGTTCTGTTTCCGTTAAGCTTTCCAGTTGCCCTTGATAATCATTCTCTTTTTCAAACTCTTACCATATGTATCATATATTAGCTTTATACGTGCTGTGGCATAATTTATCTTCTTCCTATACTACAAGTGGAAATTTGATCTTTTGCTTCTTGTTTCTGCAATTTCATTTTCATCTAGTAAAGATTTGTGTACTTGAAAATTTTATTCTCTTTTAGGAATATTCCAGGTATTTCCTTCAGTCTTCTAACTGTGGCAATATTCTCTTTCTGCTGCTGTTGTATGGTTTTAGAGGTTCCAGTAGATGGCTGTTTTTCTAACTTAGCCATGGTCATTATGGGGAAAACATATCACTGACTGAAGCATCGCGTCTGTGTCGGACATCAGTCATGTGGGGCTGTCAGGGTCTGAATGCTGTCCCTCTGTTTTGGGAATTCCCCAGCTTATACTTCTGCTTTCTGCCTCCTGGTAGAAAAGCTGAGAATGTCATACCCTGATTTTCCCATCCTCCTTTGCTCCTGGGACCTCATCTTTGAATCAGGATCCGAAGCTTCAAAGAAGAAAGGATGGCACAGAATTTGTTCTGGTGGTTATGAGTGGCAGAGGTGACACCATTTTCCAGGGGTGGCATTCAATGGTGGTGGGGGCAGCAGTGTCAGCTCTGGTGTCCTGTTTATTGCTAGAGCTGCCTCGCTTTTACTGGCAGTTTCTGTGGCGTGATTTTGCCTGTGGGTTTGGAGGCCTGACTCACTCCTCTTGCCATCAGTCACACAGTGTATTTCTTTTGTACTTGAAAACAGCCAAGATTGGTTTCTGTTGCTAGGAACTAAGAATCTTCCTGGTATGGTATTGTAGAGCCTTGATGTCAAACTCTGCAGTGGGTTCTTGTCTGACCTCTGTCCCACACCACATGACCTGGGGTGAATCGTTTCAATAAATAGTTTAAATAAATACTCAAACTCTTCATTGTAACGTTGAGAGTATTTTCAGGGCCAGCAGGTGGTGTGATATTTAAGGTGCTAGACTCTCACGTGGCCAACTACAGTTTGAGTCCCAGACAGGTGGCTTAAAAATCATGTCTGGCATACATGTGTGCCCAAAATCCTGAGAGGAGAATGGAGGAGAAGGGACTGACTTGTCTATCCTGCCTGGGAGATGATTTCTCACTTTCCCTCTCTCTGTCTCTCTTGAGTGAGCACACATGCCCTGTGGCAAAAAAAACCTTAAAAATTTTTTTTCAAAATCTTTTAGGCTCTAAAATTCTACTATTTTTGTTTCTGCTAATTCGGCTAGTGGGGTGCTGATTTACCATCATTGACTGCCAGCCCAGCTGTGGGTGCCGCCAAAGTGCCGCCCTGGCATTTCAGTGTGGTATTGTTCTCTCCTATTCTAGCAGTGCTTGGGCTCCTGTTCCTGCATTTAACCCCACTGGTTAGCTAGTGTTTACTGGTTCTACGCACCGCTTGCATCCTGACAGGTGTAAAAATGTTCTTTGTTCTCTGTTTAGTGATCTGATTGAAGGGAAAAAACGCTTTAGGCACCAGTAGGTTTCAAGGTTTCCGTGGTAATGTTGATTCAGGCGAGAGCTCCTAGTGGAGAGTTGAAATTCAAAGTCATAAATTGTAAAAATTACATTTTAATGCAGTACTGTTGACTAGGAGATTCAAGACTTAAAGAGACCAACCTTTTCCATGTTTTTTTTTTTTCCCCCTACATGTGTGACATGGAACAGCTAATGCGAAATAGTTTTTAGGAAAGCTAATAACAGATGGGTCATCAGTGCCATCTCACTATAAGGCTATAGTTCATAGCTCTGCAGTTGTCTTTAAAGAGAAAGGAGATAGGGAGGAGGGGGAGGAGGAGCTTGGAGGTCATTTGCACTCAGACCTAGCTTCCAACAGGAAGAATCTCCTTGTGGCTGACTGACCCTTCAGTTTTTTGCTTTACAAATACCACATGCAGTTAAATGAGAGCAGCACTAATTATATCTTCCATTTTATCTCAGTAAACTCAGAAAATTTCTTTATGAGTTCATTTGTGACCACAGTGGGAGTATTTGGGCATACTGGACTCCCAGCAGCAGTGGCCACTGAGGCAGCACTGAGAGTGACAGGTGTTTTGTTGGGAGAGCTTCCTTTATTGCATCCTGTAGGAAAAAATATGGGCAGTGTACGTTAAGCAGTCACCCAGGTTTGGTTTTTTAACAAAAGTTTATTGTTTGCTGGAAATATTAGGAACTTTTATTTGGGTGACAGTGGTGATTTTTTTTTTTTTTTTACCCTAGTGCCCACATGGTGCCACTTACAGTGATTTTTAGACTTCTTAGCTATGTGTGTGCGTGTGTGTTTATGTGTGTGTGTGCGTTTGTTTGTTTGTTTGTTTTGTTGGTTTCTTTCTATCCGAAATGGAAAGCAAGAGAAACATAAGCACCCTCAACAGGGTTTCTTGCCATGTTCCCCCCACTGCCTCAGGCTTGCCCAGGTAGCCAGAGTCAAGGGGACGTATGTACGTGTCCTGTGTGTGCAGGTTGGCCCGGGGACTGAGCCCTGATCTTCCATAGGCCTTCCAGGATTGCAGAACATTGTGCTATTGCTGCACCATGGCAGCTGGGCTGAGCTGGAAAAAATACTCTAAAAATTAACACAATGGGCCCTGCTATGGTGGCATAGGTGGAAGAACATCACTGCACAAAACTGAGGCCATCTGGGAAGTCCTGGGATGGGTCCCAGGTTGACCTGAACATGCCAGCATACCTGTGAGCCTGTGACCCTGGCAGATTGGAAGACGTGGGAGAGAGAGGGTGGTATCATGGTGTGGAGAGACCCTGTCGAAGATGCCTGCCCCTCCCTTATTCCCTTCCTTTCTCTCAAGAGAAAGAGATTAAATAAATTTAAAAATTTACATGTAGAACAATTCTAAAATAATAGATGTTCAAAATGTACAGTACCATAAAATGCAGCACAAGTTTAGATGTAAAAATTAATATGGGTTGGAGGACCTGGAGATACTACTCAGTAAAGGTTAAATTCAGAAATATGTTTAAATTTTATTTTATTTATTTTAAGTTTTTGCCATAGGACGCATGTGCTTGCTGGAGAGACAGAAAGAAGGAAAGTGAGAAATCATCCCCCAAGAGGATGGCTATGCCACATTCCCTTCTCCTCCATTCTCCGTCAGGATATTGGGCATGCATACACATGTGCCTGGTGTAATTTTCAAGCCACCAGGTCTGGGACTCGAATTGTGGTTAGCTATATGGGAGTCCAGCACCTTAATCATCATGCCACCTGCTGCCCCTGTGTGCTTGTATTTTAAGAGGCCAGCAGGACAGAGAAGTGAGGCCACTGAGGGGAAGTGGCACGTCATGATCAAAGGAAGATCGGAAGGGAGGATAAGTGCAAGTGCGTGCACGAGTGAGGGGACTACTTGACTGCAGTTGGGGGTGTGAGTCTCCAGGGTAAGTAGGCAGGTAGGATGGTGCTAGATTAAAGACTGATTAAAGAAGTAGACTGTGAAAAGGTATGATAAATGTTTGTTTCTGGGGCATATTAGAAAAGACTGTTTTGTGTGTCTTTCTACATTGTCCTGTTCTCTTTGTTTCTTTCTGATTTTCCAGACTCCCTCGAGCCCACGTATCAGCAGCTTCAGAAAATGAAACTGGACAAGAGTCCCTTTGTGGTCGTGTCTGTGGTTGGGCAGGAACTCCTGACGGCTGGCCATCATGGGGCCTCTGTGGTTGTTTTAGAAGCTGCTCTGAAGATCGGCACCTGCAGTCTCAAACTGAGAGGCTCTGTTTTCTCTGCCCTGAGCAGCGCTTACTGGTCTCTTGGAAACACAGAGAAGAGCACTGGATACATGCAGCAGGACTTGGATGTAGCCAAGACCTTAGGTAGAGTTATACTTCTCTTTATTTCCGTGCAGAGAGGAGACAGACCAGCCCGGTTAACCTGACATACATGGGAGTAACATGTGCAATGGAAAGTGAGTGTGCCTCTAGAACATTCTCTGTTTTAATCAGGTTTTTAGGGCTTTTTTTTTTTAATTCCATGTAACAGAGTATCAAGGCTCCTAGATGGCCAGGAGATGTGGATTGACGTGCTCATCACCCTCCTCCATATTTTGGGCTCACAGATGTAATATCCCAAATGGTGGCAGTGGTGGATAAATTTTTCATCTTAATTTTAATTTTTGCCTCCATCAGAGTGCATCATCATTTTATTGGAGTTGATAGTATAGTGCAGAGGTTGAATGTATTTAACTAAGGAGCCAAACTACTGGGTTCAGAATCCTGGCCCTGCTACGTAGTAGCTACATGACATTTGGTAAGGTTCTTACTCTCTCTGTGCCCCAGCTTCATCATTTGTAAAATAAGTATGGCTTATTATTGTCTTGGTGGTTATTCAAGCATTCACAAGATTGTAGTAGGAGAAGGATATGGTGAATCTACCATTAGCGTACTTATAAAGAAACAATATATTACAGTAAGCTCGGAGTCAAATGGCTAAACCAATGAGCTGATGGTTGTTCAGAATCAAAAGTCATTAGCAGAGCAATGAGGAGACTCCAGCAATGACTGGTTTATGTCACGGTCTTTTGTTCGTTTGTTTGTTTGCTATAGGGAACATGTACTCACTGGCAAAATACAGAGAGCGGGAGAGAGGGAAACAGAAATCATCCCCCAGGAGGAATGCTCATGCCACAATCCCTTCCCCTCTATTCTCCTCTTGGGATTTGGGGCACATATGCCTGGTGTGTTTTTCAAGCCACCGGGCCTGGGACTCAAACCACATAGTAGGCCATGTGAGATCCAGCTGCCTTATCCACCATTCCACCAGGTGGCCCCTATGTCAAAGTCTTTAACCTTTTATTTCCAGGACACCCAAGTCTTTGACTGCAATTGTATGTTATAATGGTAATAAATATTTTCCAAAGATTTAAGTTTGAGGACCATAACTTCCTATGTAGTCTTGTAGAAGCAATAGATAGTTTTTTAAGAATAAGATAAGTGGAATCTTAGCTAGTGAATCTGTGACTCTTACATTAAGATGACCGGTATAATGTTATCAATAATGCTATCACAGAGAAATTTGATCTTGCTCTCTCTCTTTCTCTCACAAGCCAATTCAGGTTACCAGACAGGAGAATGCCGAGCTCATGGGAATCTGGGCTCTGCATTCTTCTCCAAAGGAAATTACCGGGAGGCTCTCACTAACCACAGACATCAGTTGGTGCTTGCCATGAAACTCAAGGATCGAGAGGTAGGAAGTTTATCCACAGACTAAAACTTTTTTTTTTTAAACATGGAATCATTTTTTCTGTTCAAAACAAGTGTTTTTTGGGTTTTAAAAAAATTACTTTCTTAAGTTGATAATTATTGATTCTGTCTTTCATCAGCAGTTTGGTGTTGGCTGTCTATTGTGTGTAGGCTTCAGGTCTATAGCAATGATAAATAAGACATTTTCTTTGAGATCAGGATCTATCAGCTTAGTCAGATGCATTCTTATTATCTTCAAGTGTGCTATGGAATAGACCTATGTAAAATCAGCAAAAAGCTATCTCATAATATATTCAGGAAATTTTAAGAAGCAAATGTTAGGCTTTGAGATCGAATGTTTTATTACTCAACCTCCTTGCATTGTTTCTTCAGTGAATTTTTAACTCAGGTGGTTGAAACATACTAAGTTTGATTAAGAGACTTGAATAATAACAAAGAAATATCATCCTCATCTTTACTAGATAAATAACATGAGTGTTCTCAAAGAGTTGATATTTAGTAGTTACAATGAGGAAGTGCCACCACAGTGGAGAGAGGGTAGGGTTTGGAGTCAGAAAGATTTTTGAATCCCAGGTTTGAATCCCAGCCCTAGTACTTCTTGACTGTGGGACTCTTGGGTTAGTTATTACCTGACTCTTTTTTTCTTCCTCTGTTTTCTTATTTAGAACATGATGATTATTCTGTTTATTCCATATACAGTTGAGACAGTGTTACAAATAAAATGTGTGAAATGATTAGCATGGTGTCTGGATTTCCATAATGACATTCCATAAAGGAATTCTATAAATGGTAGCTTTTATTATGACATTACTAATAGGGAAGAGGTTAATAGCAGGGGCAATAGTAAGTTTACAATCCACTTTTGTGTTGAGAAATAGGTTTAGTAACATTTATATCTCAGAAATCCACTACGGGACATTGTAACCATGAATTATATCAGTTAAGTGGTCCAGCAACTTCAGGTCTCTGACACATGGTCAGGCACTAGGAAAGAATTAGGGAAGGATAAAGAAGCCTCTGAAATCTACCAAAAAGACCAATTTGGGGCCATGGCCTTCTGGCAGTTTTACTCTTTAGAGAATTGCTTGAATGTTTTTCTAATTGCCTATTTACTCTTAGTTTACAAACAATTTTTATAAGCCAGATGATTTGATTTCTCAATGGATGAAAAGAGAAATCAGAGACAGACACACTGACACCACTCAGAAGAAAGCCATCTTTAAGATCTGTCACATCATTGTTATTGACTTAGAACCGTTTAGTGAGGGGGTGGTTAACTAGAAATATAACAGCAGCTTGATTTATACCACTGGGTCATCGGAAGTCATGACACAGTTTTACAAAGAAAAAATACATCATGACTTTTTTTTTTTTGGAGAGGTTTTTGCTACAGGACACGTGTGCTCGCCAGACAGAGAGAGACAGAGACAGAAAGCGAGAAATCACCCCCCGGGGGGATGGCCACACCGCAGTCCCTTCTCCTCCATTCTCCTCTTGTGATCTTGGGCACGCAAGCACACGTGCCCGGCGTGAGTTTAAGCCACCAGGTCCGGGACTCGAACCGCGTTTGGCTACGTGGGAGTCCAGTGACATAGCCATTACGCTAACTGCTGGCCCCTGTCATGACTTTTTTGATGATCTGGTATTTCCCCCACAACCTTTAATATATCTATTTGTCTATGTATTATCATATATATATAATCATACATATATACATATGTAATATTACATATATTGTATTTTATATATACAATTATGCATTATATATGTATACAATATACACATACATCTAGATAGGGTGGAAAGACTTTTAATTAGGAGTACAGCAATGTCATCGGTATTAAAAGAGAGGAATGAAATTTATTTTGCCTTCCCTCTTCTCAGTAGTGTAATTTTCTCTCACTGGTGTTGCCTGCGTTTTCTAAATCTCTGCCATATATGTTCTTAAAAAAAAAAAACACTGAATTATGAGGATGGAAGGGACTGTGAAATAACACTGGCTTTTGGGGCCAGCAGGTGGCAGAGTAGGTAAAGCACTGGGCTCCCACATGGTGGACTGTTGGAGTCCTAGACCTGGTAGCTTGAAAATCATGCCAGGTGGAGCCAGTAGGTGGCATGGTGGTTAAGGTGCTGGACTCCTGCATGGCTAACCACAGTTTGAGTCCCAGATCTGGTGACTTGCTTTCTCATTTTCCCTCTCAGTCTCTGTCTCTTTGGCCAGATTAAAAAAAAAAAACAACAATAGTAATAATAAATAATTTCAAAAAAAAAAGGAAAAAGAAAATCATGCCAGGTATGTGTACGTGTGTCTAAAATCACAAAAGGAGAATGGAGGAGAAGGGAAGGGATTGTGGCATAGCCATCCCTTCAACGGAGGGTGATTTCTCACTTTCTCTCTCTGCCTCTATTTCTCTTTGATGAACACACATTCCCTAAGGAAAAACAGAAACAGAAACAGAAACAGAAACAGAAACACTGGCACTCATTCCCTGCCCCCGACTTTCCCGTCTTAGACTCATCACCTGCCTCAGGCACCTCTGTCCTCTCCTTTGGCCTTCACATAGCCACTAATAAAGTAGGAGCAAGCCTGCCTGTGGGGAAGTTCTCTGTAGGAATGGGTGATAGATTTTTTTTTTATCCTGTTTTTTTTTTTTTTCCTTTTCTTTTTTGCTGGAGGGTGTGTGAACTTGCCTGAATGAGATAGAGAGAGAGGGAAAGTGAAAAAACACCTTCTATGGGAGATGGTCCCATTACAATCTTTTCTCCTTCATTTCTCTCTTCCTTCAGGATTTTGGACAAGTACACATACAGGCCCAGCGTGTTTTATCAAGCCACCAGGTCTAGGACTTGAACTGTGCTGTCAGCCCTGTGGGATCTAGGCACTTTAACCACCACACCACAGCAAGCCCTGTAACATACTGATTTCTTCTCCTCCACAAGGAGACAATGTCTAGCCCTCATCATCTCTTTCTGAGTTGAGTAGTACCACTTTTCTTCTCAGAGTTTCCGATTATCAATACTTAATCATCTTTTTTTATAAAAGAATTGTTTATTTATTTTTAGTTCCACTTGTTTTTATTATTTTTTAATTTGACCCGAGAGAGACAGAGAGAGGGAGAGACACGGTAAGTGAGAAAGTAAGCCGCCTTAAGTCTGGGACTCAAACCGCGGTTGGCCATGTGGGAATCGAGTGCCTTTAACCACCAGGCCACCTGCTGGCCCCACTTAATAATTTCAATGATCCTCTGGCTGTTCCTCTTTGACATTGGTCCCCACAGGTGGCCAGTGAGCCACAGCTCTACTGCAGCAGAACTCTGTTCTGGGACGTTTCTGTCGCTCAGCTTGTATAGCTGGGCGTGCCTGCCCTTATTTGTCTGTTCCTAGACTGGCCTCTGGAAGTTCGCTCTTCTTCCACAGCGTGTCTCCTCTGCTGTGTTTGTCTCTGGAGTTCTAGGGTACCAGTCATTTTCTTGACAAATTTAATGATATTTTCTTACCACTTTTCTTAACTTGTTTTTGCTCATAAATTTGTTTCCTGTACCTGATACATAGTGAATATTCAATAATTCTTTCTTTTTAGTCTGTTTTGTTTTGTGCTGTGAGGACACTTGAGATCTACTTTCTTAGTAAATTTCAAGTATACATTAGAGTACACGGAATCTTCAATAGTTCATGGAAGATGTGTATTGCGACAAACAATACAAAGAATTAGAATTTTTTACATCAAAATAAATGGATAATTTAGTATCATTTTTCATAAACTTTTTTTTTTTTAGAGAGATTTTTGCTATTGGTTGTGTGCGTTCACTGGACAGAGAAAGAGAGAGAAAGTGAGAAATCACCAACTGGGGGGATGACCACACCACAATCCCGTCTCCTCCACTCTCCTCTCAGAATTTTGGGCATGCATGTACACATGCCCAGTGTGAGTTTTAAGCTTCTGGGTCCAGGGCTCGAACCATGGGAGTCCAGTGATGTAACCATTACTCCATCTGCTGGTCCCTCCATAAACTTTTTGAAGTCTTCTTGTATTATTAACTGTGCTGTACGTTGTATGCAATCTAAAACTTTTTCATTCTTTAATAACTAAAACTTCACACCCTTTAACTATCATCTCCTCCCCAGTGCTTACCCCTATTGCTACGTAAGTAGATTGTTTCAAGATAAAAGTCAGACACGTGTTCACAGATATGTATATATCAGCTGAACTTGCTATTGAGAGTCGTTAAATTAATTATACGATATTTTGTGAATCAATGAAATGTGGGGTAATAAAAGGGAATAGAAAGCAGCTGCAGATACCAGAGACAGTGTGGAAGGAGGGTGGGAAATGGCAGAGAGTGAGAAACGGGAACGGATGTGTGTATGTATATACATACATATATAAAGAAATGGAAAATTATTTGTTGATGACAGTATGTTGATTAAGCCACTATAAGTGTATTCTGGATGGGAAATTGCATATTGTACACTATGATGTTGTTCAGTGAATGAATGTAAACTAAGTAAGAAAATCTGGGAAAACATATCTTTATAGGTAAATCTTTGAATGTATCTCTATCGGTTCCTTTGTTAAATTATTAGAAGTGGACTTGCTTGGAAGAAACTTATTAGTGCATCTTTTACTTATTGTTAAATTGCTCCCAAGAGACGGCATTTCCGGGCTACCGGCATTGTCGACGAGGTTTCCTTTCCCTA